AATCCTCTTATAGTTTTGTTGTTCTTCCTGTGGTTTATAGTTCCATGGTTGAATGTAAAATATAGGAAAAAAGGTTTATTCACTGGATTTTGTTTTAAAGGGACACTTCCAAGTTAAGCCTAATCTCACAACAAATTTACTTTCTGGATTAAAATTACAATGGACAACAAATAATAGATTAACTTTGTAAACATAAACAATAGTGTCCCATGATTCTTTTGGTGCAATCCCTGGGCTTGGAAGGTTCCCCTTTAAATGAATTATCCCATAGCAAAAATAAAGTATTTTACAGTATACTATTGCTGTAGGTCTTGTTTTTCGAACGGTAATTTATCAATTCAAATTAAACTGTCAACCGTAACTTATGCCGTTGAAGTGAAAACCATACAGGAGTGATAAATAGCCTTATAAATTGTTATTGCTCAACACTTTGTGTGAACCTTACTTCAGCTAACAACAAGATTTGTAATCAGATAAGGAAGGAGGTGATTTCACAGCCAATACTCAACAACAAAGTTTAAACTATTGAGTGACTAATTTTTTCCCCGCTCAAATCAGGGTAAATATTATCACATTTTCTGTAATTTTCACTGAAATCAATCTTAATTTTGAACCAAACAAACAAAAATGTGACATTACTAGTTTTTGATCCATTTATTTTTTTATTTTTGCAACATTTTATGTGGAAAGGAGCAGACTATTAATAGAACTATTTTGTGGATGGTGCCTGAAGTTGATATTGGCGTTCATGAGATTTAAAAGGAAGCCAGACAGGAAGTACTAGAAGCAGGAAGTATTAAAGGAAGTATTACAGGAACTAAATAGCGAGTTTGGTGTTAGGTTGGAGTATTTAATTACTACAATTGTTCTAGAATCAGATACAATAGTTTTAGGAAATATTTTACTACAAAAAGTTAGTTGAACAGTCTAAAGATGGGGAATGCTAAGTAGGGTTGAAGAGTTTTGGATACCAAAGAATTTAACCTATGTGCGCATACCCCTGTCCTCGACAAAATTAGGTCAGCAATTTAACAATGGACACAATAAATATTTGCTAATCTGTAAATTTGTAACTAGCATGCAAATTAAATTGTTCAAAGATCACTCTGATTAAAATCTTATGAACCGGTAGGTAAACTTGGTTCACCTTAAATTCCAGTTGCCCAAGTACATTTGCGTAACTACCCATCACCAAATGACTATCCATGTTAACACATTTCAGTTTTTGTTGGATCAGCAATTAATCAAAACTTGCGGTTCAAGCCCACTTTTTAGTAAGTCAAGCTCTAATTGGTTGACAAATCCCATCAGAGAAAAGCTGTCTGGATGATAGTTGCATAGCCATCAACAAATTTGCTTGATAATGATAGCACATGCAAGTTAATGTTAATTACTGGTGTTTCTATGGTCAAAATAAGTAATATTTTATGGATTCAGTACACAACAATCATGATTGTTTACATGCACCGATTCCATTGAGGATGTACTTTTAACAGAGCTAATACGACTGACAAAGAGACAAATAAAAATATATAGAGGCCAAAAAAAAATCTGTTATGTGATAACAAAAAATCTGGTAATTCAGTTTTTAATTTTGTATTCATTCATCAAATTTAATTTATAATAAGAAAACCCACATTTACAGAAAAGCCCTTTTTGCAATGGAAGAAACAATTTCATTCAAGTCTCATTTAAATCTTGTTTGATTTTGTATCATTTTTTATTGTTTGGCCAAAAGATTTCTCTAGGCTAGGCAATACATTTTAGGTACAATAACAGATTGGGTTTATTAAGAACTACACATTTTGTTATTTGGACAGTGGCTTGTAGTTCATGTGTGCTCTAATCTAACCCAGCTTTCTAAATATAATAAAACAGAAGTCATTTCAAATATTATATTCAATATTCCTATCAAGTTGTTTAAAATAGTGTCTTTAAAAATGGAATTCATTGTAGATCCCATATCCAGGGTTTTGTCTAATCATTATCTAATTGACCCGTAAGAACAAAAATCAACTAATCACTCACAGGTGTAAATTGTAAAGAGAGCACAATGGGAGTTGACGAGAGGACAATGACTGGACACCGGATGTTTGCATAAAATACGTAGCAGGACATCACTGTATGGAGTTACTTACCGACAAGTGCCTTCTCATAGGATCTGCCCATCGCTATCATGTGCCTGATTGCGGGGTTCAGGTTTTCTGTTGTGTGCTGAAATTTTAATTTCATAAAATTAAATTAAATTAGAAGAATAACAAGTTTGTCTTCGAAAAAATAAATAAACACGCGAGATAAAACGACCTGCGATGTTACGTGAAATAAATGTTCATAGCCGCGTGTGGTAAATATTAGTGATTCAATTCAAAGCTTTTTAAATGCCTGTAATTTGTACAGGTTTAAGAAGAAGAAAAAACATTTATAAAAGACGGATAAGCTCAAATTACTGAGGTGCAAAATGCGGCACGTGTCTTTGGATTGCAAACACGAGAAAACAGTTTACATAAACGAAGAATTCCCCATTCGCACCATTGAAGCTGAAGACACATCGCCAAAACATTTCAAGTTCCTTGCTTCATTTTTTTGGATTTTTAAAGATTACTTGAATACTTACCCTGTACACCCCCTCTGTCAAACGACTGATCTCTTCGCTGGTCGGCATTGCTGTGGATAAATCACGTATTTCGCATAAAATGGCAGAAAATCGTTACAAACATGAAGGATGGCAGAGAAAACCCTGATACTTCGAAGAAGAGAAATTATTACTTCGTGAGCTGTGGGCGGCGGTGCATATGACGTCACTTTCGTACAAAGGGCACCGATTTTTCTATTTGGGTGTAGGGGGAATAGGCCTCATCCAGAGGGTGAAACGTGGGCAGTGTCTGTTTAAAAATCGTCTGTATAACCACAGCTTTACCGTTGTTTGGACATTCTTGTTCCAGAATTATAAGTCTTTTAGTTTCAAATACATCTACCTCTTATCCGTGAAACCATTATTTTATACTTTAACTTTATTGACATTATTCATTTTGAATAGAACATAGTTCAATTTATAACGAGATAACATAGGGTTTGCTAACATCGAACATAGAGGGCGCAATTTTGAGGTTAGGGGTCAGAACCAAAATGGCTGCTGAAAATGGAAATGAATGTGTTTTGGGTACAGAAGAGGACCAAACTGCGAGTGACGTAGCTGTACGTTCTGAGTCGGATAGTTTTAATATCGAAGTACAGCCATGCACATTAGAAGGCCAAGCTGGAGAGCCAGTTATTTCTGAACAAGAGCGATATAAGAAGAAATACTTCACACTAAAAAGGAAATGTGACCTCATTAAAAATGTGAGTTGCAATCTCCTGAGGTGGGGGGGTTGGAGGGAGGCGGGGTGATTTATATGTGTACACAAATTAGGGAGGACTGAAACAGTGTTATCAATAGGTCACAGTGAAGCACAGAGGCAGCTTGGTGTAGACCTACGAACCTCAAAGATGTGTTATCAGGATATTTCATCTTTACACGTTGATGCTGAGCATCTTATGGATACTGCAGTGTTCAGAAGCAAAAAAATGTCAACACAAACAGTGTAATCTGGTGTGAGTTAGTTGATCTTGTCATGGAGGTAATAAGACTTATTACCTCCATGATCTTGTGTACAGAGTTAATACCATAGGCGCTGATGGTAACAATGAATGAAAGAACACTGTTCATCCTGGGGTTTGTAGGTCCATGCACGCAGTTGAGACAAAGGACATCACAATTCACAAATCTAAATTGCTGCTAGATCATCTCTGTGCTGTTACAGTTTGTATATTCTATTTTGACTCGGAGGAAAATATAACAGAAATAAACTTTAAAAAAATCCAATGGATGTATTGTGGCCCTATGTGCATACTACTAATAATGCATGTATCAATGCAGTCTTCTCTGCTGAGTTTCACTAGCATTTGTTTCTGCAACAGCCACATGTACCGTAAAATCTGTATAAGAAGTCGCATTTCTAATAGAGAAGATGTGGCTTTTATTAATACATATATACATTAGAGAAATGGTGTATTTTTGGTTTTCAATTATTCAAAAAAAGTGCATGGGGCGGCTTCTATTAAGAGTGCAGCCATTAATACAACTTTTACAGTACATGTACTTTGAATTTGCTCATTATGTATGCATAAACATTGTAGACAAAAGTAAGAAATATTAAAAACTCTCTCAATGACGTTTCTGGTTAGATCTGCGCATACTTACTGTGCGTTTGACACTAGAATGACATTACAAAAGTGCATGAATCAGATAAATGCAAGTATGTTCAAAATTTTCAGATAGGTACGTGTCAAACTACCAGCACGGTCAGCCTTGGCACGAATCTTAGGAACTTATTCCCCAATTCACACCTAAAACAATAGCCATTGCCAGTCCATTCTTCAGTGGTCTGCAGCTAAAACGTACTCGCCCGATACATGTACCAACTTACATTAAACAAATTTTCTAAACTTTGCTTTTGTGTTTTCCTCTGATCATGTGGTACATGTATGACAGGGATACAAACTTCACTAGTCAGAATTTTAGAACAGAAATGAGTTTTCATGTAAACTCAGATTGGTGAAGAAAAAAATAATTGTATTTCTGATCATCCACGCAAAGTTATAAAGTATGCATCTCACAGCTTTCTTGGTAGAATTTTAGCAAAAATTAAGTTTTCATGAAAAATCATTACCGTAATAAAAGCACAAATTTAATGACAATTCAAAAATTGCATGTTAATTTTAAAAATTCAAATTGACCGAATATATATCTGTTATTTTAATACAGGGAAATGATAAGTTGGTAAACAGACTGTACTATGTGAAGAAAGCAATCCGGAAACTGAAACGAGAAAGACAGTAAGTTGAAGTACTGGTATTCTTTGCAACTTGGCCTTGGACACAAATGACTGCAGAAATCCTGTTGAGATCAAGAGTAAGACCCCCCCCCTCAAATAGTGTTCCCTTCTCATAGTGCCCACAGTTCCCCAGATCATTTTATTTATAGTTACTTCAGTCAATGAAAATATTGTTTATACGTATATATTGTAATATTCCTATTTTCTTGCAGATGTCTGATGAGTAAATTGGATGAACATGGAGATGACTATAAAAATGTACCGCTTACTGTTTCACTAGAGGTGATGAAGGCATTAAACTACTGTATATTGGTTTTCTTCCTCTAATACTGTAAAACATGTCTTTTTAGCTAGCATGTTATTTTAGCTAATCTGTAATTTTGCTAATTCAAGATGCAGCTAATTTAACAGAAAGTACCGGTATATTCTCATAGGGAGATAGTCAAAACTTTAGCTAAATTAAGATTCTGTTAATTCATGCCGAGAGCCAAATCCGCTAAAATTGCATGCAACCATTTCAACGTGTTTTTCAGTACTTGATCTGCATATGCTGATTTAATATAAATATTCATGAGTATTTATAATATACAATTGATAATGGAAGATCATATGTACTCTATATGACTTTTATTTCTCAGTGGCAGTGAGCAACATGAAAATGTATATTTGAAAAGGCTGTATGACATAGCTGTTACCCTACCACCTTTTTTCTGTTTCATTGAAAAATTATAGGAAATGTTTTTGAATCAAAACATAAATCCTTCATGTTCACTGTCTCTGTCTTCACAGGATAGTCTACAGATGAATGCCGCTGGCATTCCACCAAATTTTCCTCCCACAATGCACCATCCTGGCATGCTGGGAATGACCCATGACATGAATTTCAATGCAGACAGCCTTGCAACTGGTCTGCCACCTCATATGCAAATGTTCCCACAACAAGCTGCCAATCCAGTTAGTGCATCTGGTAGCAGTAAAAAGAAGAGACATGGGAAAACAGAAAAGGAAAAAGGTATATTTAATGATTATGCAAATTTGCATAAATAATCATTAACTTTGGCGATTGTAAAGTGGCTAGTATGTCTGCTTCATACTAGTGAGATTGTAGGTTTGATTCCCAAGCTGAATAATCACTCAGAAACATAAATCACGAGTAGAGTCTGCCATGCCTTCCGAATACATGGTATTATTAGGTTTGAAAGACTGGTGAATACACCTGAAATTGCAATTAGCACCCAAGACAAACAAGTCAGGAGCGATGCTAGTAACTTCAAAGTTTGGAAAGGTTGCATGACAAAAAAATATTTGAAAGAAAATAACCATTTACAGATATATATTTAAAACAAGGGAGAGTGTTACATTTGTGCATATTTTGCCTCGTGACGTACCTCACCAATTTTGCAGTTAATTGTCATCTATTGTACAAATTTATACTTAATACATTATTAACAAAAATTAATATTTTCTAAGCAAAGTTGTTTCAAGACTCAATAAGTGGTTTTAAATTGAAAAGATAGATTTTATTTTTTTTTAAATTAGGATGAGGCTTTAGTTGCGTATTTTACAGTAGTTACATTTGCGTATTGTATGTACCAATACTGTGTTTGCTCTGTTAAAACCACACATCAACTAAAAATGTTTGATCTTTTTAAATACAACATTTCGACCAAATTATGTGAGCGAATGCTCGACTAATAAAGCAATTACATATATTAAACCATGTATGAATACATTGACTTGGGTTATGGCGTGCTCATGATACACTACTTTGCTTTCACTGTTAGATTACGCTGTTTCATTACTGTCTTGTATCCTAATGTGGTTTCGCTGAATATATGTGCAACTATCTGTATGTCCCTCACCCAGCTAGTAATCCCAGTAGTGTCCAAATAAGTTTTGGAAAATCAGTTGACATTTGGGAAAAAGTATTTTGTTTTATATCATGCATATGCATCTACCGTATCAATGTAATACTCATTGTTGTGGGGGAAGTATGTACTTCAATTTGGCAGGATTCAATTTATCCAATTCTTTGCAAACAAAGAAAATACTGCTAAAAGGGAGTTGATGTTGCATACAATGTACATTTCCACATACCAATGGGTTGCTAGATAGGTACTAGACATCCATACAACGTATACAATAAATGACATTTTCCCAGATGTCAATGCATTTTCTGAAATTATTTTTGATGTTGCTTTTATTTTATTTTTTTCAAATTCTGTTTTCTCCCTATTTTTGCATGTTGTCTATCCTGTATGTTATGTCTGTATTTTTTTTCTTTTTTTTTTTTTTTTGCCGTGTTGTCTGTAGATCCGAACGCACCAAAGAGGCCTGCCAATGCCTTCTTCATGTTCTGTCAGCAGGAACGTCCCAGACTACAGGAAGAGTACTACAAGGAACGGAAAGAGGAGATAAGTCATCTTGAAATGACTAAAGTATTGTCCAAAAAATGGAGTGACCTCAGTGGTGATGACAAAGAGGTAATGTTCTTTATATAGATTATCTGCCTTTGTCAACTAGAGATTATAAAATAAAATTCTTCCACAAATTCGGCATTTGTTGATAAAATTATCTATCAAAAATATTTTGTGATATTTTATAAAACTTTGACACAATTTTCATGGAATTTTGTATTCAGGAATGCTATTGAATCATTCACGAAATTTGTGCACTTTACAATAACTCGCAAAGGCAGTAACCATCTGTTTTGTTCTGGTCTTGTTTATGAAAAGTATTTATAAATTAAATAAATTTAACTTGCTAACTTTAAAAGTGGTTGCACTCTCCCGTAGTTCGAAATATTTGATATGGTTTTTGCGAAAAATGTATTTATATAGTTTTGCTTTCCCTTGCAGTTAACATGTACAACTTAAACATTTAAGAATTAGTTACAGTTCCTCTAAACATGATTTTTCTACTTATTTCCATAGAGATACTATAATCTGTATCAAAAAGATAAGGAGAGGTATGAAGAAGAGATGAAACACTATATCAAACCAACTAAACATCAACCCAAACATAATGGACATGCTATATCGGCACCACCACCTGCTTTTGTTGTAAAGTCTGAAGTTGCTTCTCAAGATGACCCTTATTCAATGCCCCAGGGTAATGTAATGCCTCATGGTAATGTTACAATGTCCCAAGGTAATGCTACTATGTCCCAGGATAATGTTCCAATGTCCCAGGGGAATGTTCCAATGTCCCAGGGTAATGTTCCAATCTACCAGGGCATTCAAAATCCTCCATTGTTTTCTGATGCCAATGTATCTCCTTTTCCCAACATGCTATAATTAGGTAATTAATTAAATTTGCACCATTATAAACGAAGATCATCTGTTTTTTGTGGTGACAAACAACAACTGGTCACACTAGTATGTGATTTGAATACCATTATACACTGTTGAGAGGTTGTGACAACAGAAGAATGATCTGTTCATGTTGAAAAATTTAGTAACTTGTCATCGCATCTCGTTTTGTGAACAATAGCACTATTCAACCATTGTTACTGCTGTAGATTTTTCACAGTGTAGATGATGTAAAGTTAGAATGTTTGTGACGATGGAAATAAAGCACATTCTTTGTACTCTTAATTGTATATGTTGTCTGTTTTGGGTTCCATGCAGCCATCCATCTGTTTGTTTAAAGTTTGGTACAAAGAATACTTTTGCTTCACAGTATGATTACAATTGCTGGCAGCAGGATATACCTCTCACCGATTTTGGTGTGTTTGTGTCAAATTTGTTTCCCATTAATTATCACAAGAGTTGCTTTGTACAATGAACACCAGATCGGAGTAGATTTTTGTACAAATCTGTACCTGTTATTTAGGTAATTTGCATAGTTAGTTGAGCATTTGTGTGTTCTTGCATCTGTTTGCACAAATGTATTAACCATGTTCTCACTAGTGAAATCAATCCAAATTGAGATGGATTCAAATCTCAGGCCAAATCTCTGTGGGAACAGTCAGATCAAAGCTGGCACATGCCTGTTTTTGTGTATACATTTAGTGGTACAGAAACAGACACCTAGCAAATGTCTGGTAATTGAAATATACTGGTACATAAGAATGCTTTCATTATTTCATTCATAATTGGATATATGTACATATCCAGCACTGTGATATCATTACCAATGTTACCATTCATGAAATTACATAGCCTGAACTG